ACCTTTATGAAAGCTTATAAGTTTTCATGTGTAAACTCGGCCAGTGAATTTTGTATCCGACACATGAAATAAGTTAAGCGAAAGTATAAAGGAAATAATCAATAAATTAAATCGTCAGTAATTTAATTTAATTGATTAGTATTTGAATCTTAACATGGGGAGTTAAATAAGATTTAATGCATGAATTTTGAAATTGAATATGGAGTGCAATTACGAATTTTTAGTGAAATAATTCGTAATTAATTATGGTGGATATTAATTTCGAAAATTAGAAATTAATTCCATAATTGGAGCCTTGTAAATTAAATTATGTGGTCTCTGATGTGCCTAAATAATTGGAATAAAGGAATCATTTTTCTGGTGGAAAAGAAAACTCAATATATTTTGGAAAAGGGTTTTAACCCTTAAAACTGTGCTATAAATACATAAGGTTTTCCACCTAGAGGGAGTACAAGAGAGTGACCGAATTTTTCAGCCTTTTTCCTTAGAAAATTTCGCCCACACAAAATTGCTATTTTTCGGATATTATTTGGGTAACACAGTAGAAGACCGTGGAACGTTCAAAGATCGTGAACGTGTGGGTGGTGGAGAATTCATTGAGTTGTTGTGGAATTGGAGGCTCACGTGATAAAGGAGTTTTGTTCACGCTTCAAGAGGTAACCCGTGAAATCCCGTTTATGCTAGTTGTCTAGATTACATGTGATTTTGATACTGGGATTGCTTCCGCTGCTTATTATAATCCATCACTATCGTCAGCAAGCGGTGGCCGACAAGGGCCCTTTCCCTAAATATCTTGGGAAACGAAGAGGACAGGTTTGAAACTCATTCGATAATCTTCTCCTGAAAGTAGGCATTTCCCCAAGGCACTGCTATGATGACTCTCTCAATTACATGTGTTTTAGGCAACTAATGTTTTTATGCACTTAAGGCCAAATAGATCTGAAGTACAAATTGTCTAGAAACATAAACTTGTTCTTATCAACAATCCAAATACACGATTTAACACCTAAATCTACTCCAAATGATCTCAAATTTGAAACATAACCTTCAAATATCATCAAGAACAAACATTAATCATCAATTTATCAAAATAACAACAAATCTAACAAACCCAAATTGTAATTAAGAAGAAGAAGAGAAAGAGCAATAGTAAAAATAAAGCGCCACAACAGCTCCCTATTGTAAACACCGTAAACCATCTTAAAATATACTCATAAGCACCATATAAATTCATCGTCACCTTTATTTTCACAGAGAGGAGGAGGAGGAGGAGGAGGAGGAGGAGGAGGATGGGGGGAGGAGGAGGAGGAGGAGGCCTGAAGTTATCTATACTTTTGAATAATTTAAAAACAAAATAAAGGCGAAATACATAAACAGCCCCTCCAAGTTGTCCACAACGTTCACTTGAACACCTTAACTTGTTATGTGACCAGATAGACACCTCTGCTTGGTAGAAGTACATTCTCTTAAACCCCTTACGCTGACATGACAAATTTTGTGTGTTACACTTACATCTAAGCGCATGAAGATCTTTAAAATTTAGCTTATCTTTTTTGGGGGGTTTGGATAAAAACACAACAACTGAATTGGGGGTTTGGATTTTCATTTAACCGCTGCAAGATGTGATTTTCAGTAGTCGTTCAACAACTTTCCGATCGACGAGACTATCATCGATAGCAAGAACATGAACTTCATCAGAATCAAAAGACGGGCACAAATTATCAAACTCCTCCATCTTCTCCGACCTCCACCGTCGCGAAAGTACTCCATTCCTCGCCATGACTAGAATATACTTCGGAAGAAGTGAAAAACAGAATTTTCTAGGGAGAAGAAGTGAGAAAACAGTGCTGTTTGTTCATATTATACAAAAGGGGTGTTGGAATGTTAGTAAAATGTCTTTTTCATATACGAATTACGATATCTTTTACTTTCTCTCTCTATATATGAAAAAGAATAAAGTGTTCAAAATCAAATCTGGTGAATCCAATTTTCACTCAATTTCATGGGTGAAAATTGTCGGAAATCACTGACCACCACTCAATTTCATTCAATTTTATGTGGGTTTTTGTCATCCAATTTCTTGGAAGGTGCTAGGAAATCAGTGTGAGGGGTTATTTGGGGGAAAGGGGGGCGAGAGGGGGAGTGAGAAGGAAGAAGATGAAGAGAGGGGGGGTTGGCTAATTAATAAAAAGATTTTTTTAATGTATTTAGTTTATATTTATCAAAAAATTTATAATAATTATACATGTCATTCTTTAATTGGTTCATTTGACATGTCACTGGCGAGTGCAACTCACACATATAGTCTGCCAGACTCGGGTGTTCACGAGATATATTTAATAGTCACTTGAAATGTTAAAATGAAAAAGGGATCAGTTAAGGTGTTCAAATGACCGTTGTGTACAACTTGGAGGGGCTGTTGATATATTTAAATGGGGAAGACCAAATAGAACGCCCCATGAAATTGAGGATCAAGTGAGCATTATGCAGTTCCAAATGTGACATTCGGAATTTCGGATACCAATTATCTCATCAGCACCAACTTCAGAAAATATTATTTACTTGCTATAACTACATTTTGGCTGCATAAAACGTTTTCTGGTGGAGAGTGGAGATTAGACCGTACATTTTAGATATGTTAATCAGGTGCAGATCTACCTTAGCCTGACACCAGTTTGATCGAATTTCTTTACTAAATAAGTATATATAATCAAAATCTACCAGGAAAAATGAGGATAAATATAAAAAGTGGCACCACTTGACAAGAACAGTTGTGTAGCTCAGGCGCATCAATTTTATTGAAGATGTGACAAGTTTGAATTGTGTAGCTTCATTTTTGTTTTAAATATTTGTGCCTCGTCTAGAAATAAAAAATATGTCGAGGTTTGAACCATTGACCTCTTAAACAATAATATTATACTAAACTAATGGATTAAGAGCCACATTTGCAGATTTTATGCAACAATAAATTATATGACTTGTATTATAAGTTGTTCGGCTATTTTTCTCCTTTCATTTTCTTTCTCAGCATTGGATTTGATTAAGAACAATGTGTAGAATTGAATGAATGTGAGTTTTTGTTGGGAGAAATTCAAAAATAGTCAGATTTACAACTGATCGTTCAAAATAGCCCAATTTAAAGTAATCGAAATTTAGTCACTTTTCATGTAAAGATAAATCTGAGCGAAAATACTGCTCAAAACCCGAAAAATACGCCAGTATATTATACTGGAGTTCCAGCATAAGTATGCTTGAACTCCAGCATATTATACTGGAGTTCCAGGATAAGTATGTTGGAACTCCAGCATAATATGATGGAGTTCCAGCATAAGTACACTAGAACTCCAGCATAATATACTGGAGTTCCAGCAAGTATAATTGTCCAATATAATATACTGGAGTTTGGAGCACCAGTGCTCCAGTCTCCGGTATATTATACTAGAGTCAGCAAAGTATACTGGTCCAGCATAATATGCTGGAGTTCATACATAGGTGCACCGAATTTCAGTATATTATGCTGGACCGGTCTCTGTTGCAGCAAAATAGTGGCTATTTTTCATTGCCTTCGTCAACGCTAGCTATTTTTGAATGACCAGTCCGAAAACTGGCTATAACGTGCTATTTTTACATTTTTGTGTGATTAATTGGTGTTCTATATAGAAAAAAGTATAATGAGCTTATGTTGAATACATTTCAAAAATAAAAAAGTTATAACTAGTATATACTTGAGTTATGTTTTATAAAAATAATTCGAGTTATATTTTTTTAATATGTGATTATAGTGAATTATTATTTGTTTACTGCTTAAAATCATGACATCGCTTGTGAAAAATTCTGCGTATACCACTAATATTTAACATAAAACACAGTAGTCTTTTGAGGTGGTTAGCACAAGCAATTTTCATTGATGATTCAACAAAAAAAACAGTCAAGTACACTGAAAAATCCGATTCACAACGCTAAACAACTTCTACATTAGGTGACCCCAAAACTCAAAAGCTTTTTACAAGATATACCATTGAGTTTCCCTTCACTGCAGTTTGATACGATCAAGGTTATCAGAAACTGTTCTCATCCTTGGCCGAAGCTCGGGATCCAGTTCTGTGCAGTTGAGAGCAATATGAAATGCTGCAACGACTTGCTTTTTGGCATGAACCTCATTCAAGAGAGCAGGATCTATGATCTCGGACAAGGGTCGTTCTTGCCTAAAAACCTTCCTAACATGACTCTCGAGCCCCTTTCCATCATCTTCCGATCCTCCATCTGGCAACCGACCAGTCAACATCTCCAAAAGCACAATCCCAAACGAATAGATGTCGCATTTTTGTGTGAACTTGGAGCCAGGAACTCGAGACTCAGGTGCTACGTACATAATGGATGATGAAGTTGAGTTTTTAGGGCTTACTATGATTTGACTTGTATTCAGCTTCTTGGTACTACTATTAACGAGCTTCGAGGAGCCTGAAATAAGACGAGTCAACCCAAAACCGGATATGTAAGCTTGCAAATCATCGTCAAGAAGGATTTTCGACGATTTTATGTTCCCATGAACATATTTCCTAGGACTACATTCGTGAATGTGCATTAGACCCCGAGCTATGCCTTGAGCGATCTTCAGTCTAGCTGCCCACGACAATGGTGGCAGGGAATTACCAGGTACTCCTGCAATGGTAAAAGATAAACATTACGTTGCATCAGAAAATGTGAGAAACAACTAGATTTTGCTTGAAAATACCCAGCATTGAAACAGTGAAGAACCTAAAATTGCAGATAAGAAAGATCTTAGAGTTTTCTCACAAAATCAATACTCCCGGAATGTGTACTTATTCAAGAATTTGTTGAAAAGTGGAAGTCTTTTACATGATCATAAAATGGTAACAAATGAGGTCGGGGTTAGAAAATTGGGGTAAAAATTAAACAAAGTGGGTCGGGTATTTTAATCGGGTGGGTTTATTAGTGATGGACCGGGTCATTAAAATGGAAAACTTCATTAGCATCACCAGAAAGAGCGTGGCTCACACACGTTACTCTTTAACTAGTCTGGTGTCATGAAGGGTGAATCAAAATTCACTCACAATGTGTTTAGGGGGGTAAAATCACCTGTTTAGTTTAAGTGTTCAAACCTGTTTTATGGACAAGTTTAATGGGGTCTTTATGTATTTTGCCTTCATTAAAGTTCAGTTTTGAAATCCCAAAATATTTTTGACGTATACAACTTGTGAGCGAGCCGAGGATCTATCGGAAACAGCCTATGTACCTTCAAGGTAGGGGTAAGGTCCGCGCACACACTAACCTCCCCATACCCCACTCGTGGGATTATACTAGGTTTGTTGTTGTTGTATACGACTTGCAGAACCTCAAGAATAATTTAACAAGTGATTCAAGCCACATTTTCCTTTTACTCTATATCTTCCTTGGAGTAAACTTGAGGACAACAATTATGAGCTGAATATGGTAGGGACCATTATATTTGAACTATGTAAGCAGCTTTTCAGACAATGATCACTGACTTAAAGTCCTGACTTTGGCCCAAAAACATGTGCTTGAAACAATGAAAGAGCTGATAGTAGTCAGAGTAAGAAAAAAACAATAAAATAGGTCAGGTGTACCAGAATTGGCTACTTTGTGTAGGTCTAGAAATTTCAATATGAAACAAGAGCAATCAGCTGATTTTCAAGAAACCGCCCCACAGTAAATAACAAGGAGCTTAGGTGTATTCTGCATTTCCATTTGTGAATAGATTGGTTCACACAGTTACTATAAAAATACAAAAAGTAACAGCAAAATAGGGAAGTTCATGAGAAAAGATAAAATTGAACAAATCAAAGACTAGTATTCAAATTTTCATTAAATAAAGGAAGATAAAGAGACCAGAATTTCAAAGAATTATGTAGTACTCTTACCTATAGTCTTTTTTGTTTTAGATTTGCATAGCAAGAAGTGTCATGTCATAAACTTCACCGCTTAATTAGAATCTATTTTAAGGAAAATAACCAATATGGTGTAATACTTTTTCCTCGACGTCAGTATATGCCTAGTTAAAGTAAAGCTCAACCTCAGAAAAATACAACAACAACAACAACAAACTCAGTATTTTCCCACAAGTGGGGTGTAGGGAGGGTAACATGTACGCAGTCTTACCCCTACCCCTAGAAGGGCAGAGTGGTTGTTTTCGATAGACCTTCGGCTATAAAACGACTGGAAAAAAAAAAGGTAATTGCAACAAGTAGGAATAACAGCAAGATGAAATAAGATCGAATCCAAGAATACAGTCAAACTCTAGGTAGTAATAGTCATCTATGAATAAAAGATATCATACTAATACCAATGCTAGTGAACTGAGTAAGACTAAGAGAAACGCTCGACTACCTACGAACCTTCTACTCTAATCTTTGACCTCCACACCTTCCTGTCTAGGGCCATGTCCTCAGTTAGCTCCAGCTACGCCACGTCCCGCCTAATAACCTCTCCCTAAGACTTTTTAGGCCTACCTCTACCCCACCTGCTGCCCACCAAGGCTAACCGCTCGCACCTCAAAAAAATGAATTTGATAATTATAGATTGTTACAAGGAGAAATTACATGTTAAGTCGCCCTCAAGATATTTTATTCTGCACAAAATTCAGATTCTGATTCGCATGTTTTATGTGGAGGAACAAGCAATAATCCATGCTTAGGCCACATAAATTATGTTCCTCTGGAAACAGAAAACAAGGGAAAGAAACCATAGTGGGGGGACCGGAAAAAGTAAATAACAAAAAACAAAGAGCAGTTCAAAATGGAGAGTGAAACAGCTGAAAGCGCTCTCAAGCGCTACCGAAGGTTGAGGTAGATTAACACTTGCATAGCTGTTTTCCAGAAAACAGAAAAACACAAATGCTTACGGGTAAGATAATAACAAATGAAACAACAAGTGGGGCTAGTCAGAAAAAGAAAAAATTTACTGTCAACTACATTGCCACCTTGAATGTTGTCTCATGTCTGATCTATCAATAAACTCCTGATGTACCATGGACCCAGAGATTATTACATTGTGCAGAAGAGCAGAACAGTTAGTTGCAGACATATATCTAGCTACCCACAAGTGCATTAAATAACCTAATTTTTCTCCAAGAGTGGAACCATGAATTCAATGTGCAAGCTCATACTTCAGATTTCACCCGAAATGTCCTTATCCTAACAATAAATCATTTGCAATAAAAGGATATACTCTGCATAAGTTACTGTGTTCATCATTACCCTCTCTCTGCTCACTAACCTACTTTGAGTTAAATGGGTTTATTTTTCCCAGTTTCCCCTAAGCATTTTGGTTAAGTTCCTATCGTTCACAGCTCGGCATATATTGTAATTAATAATCCCTAAGGGAATCCGGATCTTGAGTTTTCATGGCAGGCATCTGTTCTATTCTAATTACTGTGGTCCATAATATTTGATTTTTTTTAGATATCAAGAAAGAATTAACTTCTTTTTTCCAAAGTTGCCCTTGGAGTAAATAGCCTAGGAGTATTTATTGTATTTCCAATGAACAAATTAAGGCTAATATGGTCAATTTCATTGTTAATCTAAAGTTGATTCCTTAATATGGAAAATAGCCAAAAAAATTAATTAAAGTGGACTGAAGGGAGTACTTCCGAAGTATAAACCAGAAACACTGAATAATCAGTTGCACCGGAATATTGATTTCGAATTATCACTTCCCGTATTTAGGACAACAAACATTTGTATTTTCTCTTAATAATTCTTCCTTCAACTAAGGAGTTACTCAAAAGATAGTGGTAAGAGTGCAGCGCAGTGTGCAGGGTTCAAGGGTCCATTATCCATCGAGTTTCGAATTGTGCTCCATTGACCCTAAGAGATTTCTCGGTAATTTGGAAGAAAAAAAAAACAAGAGGTGTTGAAAAGGTGAGTAGGGAATTTTCAAAACTTAACCTTCAAAGAAACCTAGCTAATCACATTAACAAGTTTACCACATTATAATCTAATCATGATCATGCTATTGCAGATGAATTATAACCTCAATTAAGCAACACAAACCATAAACTTAAACAATTTAACATAAGAAATGAGTTGAAATTACCATGTAAGGCATCGTGCAAGCTGCCATTGCGGATGAAATCAGTAACCAGCAATTTCTCATCACTTGCATAGTAATAAGCTCTAAGCCTCGCCACATTTGGATGTTGTACTTTCCCAATGGCTTCCACCTCCGTCTCAAACTCCTTGAACCGCCACGTGGCATCCCCCTCGCTCAATCTCCGAACAGCGACCACCGCAGCGCCACCACCTACCGCCGATCCCCTGCCGCCACCTGCCACCACTTTATAAACTATCCCACTCCTACTCTTCCCCACCACATAAGCTGATGCCCTTAACAAATCCTCCAACTCCAACCCAAACCCTTCATCAAACACTACATATTTACCCTTTTGCCCCTCCCCCTCACTCCCCCCACAACCAAACCCAACCACCTCCTGTGACTGTGACTTCTCCTTATCAAACTTTTCTTTTCCCATTTTACCCTCATCCAACTTCCATTTTTTCCTCAATACCCACACTGAAACAAACACTACTCCTATCACCACCGATACGCCAGAGATTAAAGAAACTGCCACCGACCCATTTCCAGATTTGCCCTTTTCTACAAACCCTAAATCTTTAGGGGTTTCAAGATTTGGCAAAACGCTAGGTTTTTGAGCTTCTGGTTCTGCACATGGAGTCTCCAATGGAAACCCACAAAGTAAAGGGTTCCCCGAAAATGCAGTAGGCCCTTGATTTAACAATGACCCAACTGAAGGTATTTTACCAGTCAAATTATTATGCCTCAAGTCCAAACTCAACGTCATCGGAAACTTACCATAACTCACCGGAACTTCGAAGGAAAATCTGTTATACGAAAGATTCAAAGTCCCAGTAAGCTGAGTAAGCTCAGTTAGCTCCTCAGGAAGTGAACCATTAAGAAAATTAGCAGAAAGATCAAGGTGATTAAGGTTAATAAGTGAAGTAATTTGCTCAGGCAAAAAACCAGTGAATGCATTGTGTGAAAGGTCAAGTGAGTGAAGTGAAGTAGCATTAAAGAGATGAATTGGGATTGGTTTAGAGAAGTTGTTGTAGGAAAGAGTGAGAATTGAGAGATTTGAAAGTGCACCAATTTCAGAAGGGATATAGCCAGTGAGATTCTTGGCTGAGAGTGAAATGGAAATGACTTTTTGATTTTGATCATCACATTTGATTCCATTCCAATGACATGGTGATGAGTCTGATTCAGACCAAGATGCAAGAAATTCAGTTGGGTCAGAAGAAATAGCTGATTTTAAAGCTAATAATGAAAGTCCATCTGAATTCAGTGCAAAAGTAGGAAAGATAGCAAATGTGAAGAAACAAAGAATAACAATTGCTAAAAGGTTTGAAAGATGCATGATTTAGAGTTGTAAAGATTCAATCTTTAATCTCAAGAATGATAAAGATTCAATCTTTATAATAAAGATTCCATTTTATTTTATTTTTTGCATGGAGAAAACAGCTTCAAGAATGATCAAAGTGGCTATTTTTGCAACAAGAAGTTGCTACTTTTGCAACAAGAAGTTGGACACACAGACACACAGTTGATGAGGAAGAAGAAGAAGGGTTGTTTTGAGTTTGAACAAAGATGGGGTGATTTTCGAGGTGTTATTTGCAGCTTTAAGTGATGTAGCTACTGGCTATTACTATACTACTGTACATTTGTTGGATTTGAATTTGTTTTGACTAATGTAGGGGGTTAGTAGTAAATTAGTATTAAATTATTAAATGGGGGATTGAGGTAATAATGTTGGGTTTGTTTTACTATTCACATGTTTCCACCTTGGGATGGGAGATATGAAGTGGAGTAAAGAACAGGAGAGAAGTATCTCTGATTTAATTCATTCATTGTTTGAACTTGTGGTTTTATTGGTAGGTACAATTATTCAAACTTCCCACAAATGACTTAAATAAACTGTATGAGTTCTCATTTTGAGTAACATTTTCTTGAACCAAGAAGATACGCTGTTTCTCTTTTATATATTGGAAAATGCAGATTTTAATTGCACAAGAATTAAAATAAAATACGACAACAACCCAGTATAATCTCACAAGTGGGGTCTGGGGAGGGCAATGTGTACGTAGATCTTACCCCTACCCCGAAAGGGTAGAGAGGCTGTTTCCGAAAGACTCTCGGCTCAAGATAATAAAAAGACAAAAGGAGAGAATATTAGATTCACCACGGAGATCATAAGGAAAAAGGAACATAAAATGTAGAAGAAAAATGCAAAGCAAAAACGATGGCTAGTAAATAGATCTTGCGTCAAAAGTAGAAAATAGTAAGACACGACACTGCCCCTAGCTATCTTAGATAAAACCCCACCGGACTAGGCTCACAAAGGTACAAAGTAACGCAAGACTCAACAACCTCCTAGTCTACAACTGTAATACTCAACCTCCACAACTTCCTTTCAAGTGTCATGTCCTCGGAAATCAGAACCCTCGCCATATCATGTCTGATCACCTCTCCCCAATACTTCTTAGGCCGCCCTCTACCTCTTCTCGTGCCTTCCACGACCAGTCGCTCACACCTCCTTACTGGAGCATCTGGGCTTCTCCTCTGTACATGCCCGAACCATCTGAGTCTCGCTTCCCGCATCTTATCATCAATAGGAGTCACGTGCACCTTCTCCCGAATGTCATCATTCCTAATCTTATCCATCCTAGTGTGCCCGCACATCCACCTCAACATCCTCATATCTGCTACTTTCATCTTTTGGATATATGAGTTCTTAACAGGCCAACACTCAGCCCCATACATCATGGCTGGTCTAACCACCGCTTTATAGAACTTACTTTTGAGTATCGTTGGCACTCTCTTGTCACACAAGACTCCAGATGCCAACCTTTACTTCATCCATCCTACACCAATACGGTGTGTGACATCCTCGTCGATCTCCTCTCCCCCGTGGACAACCGAACTAAGGTACTTGAAGCTGCCTCTACTTGGGATAACCTGTGACGCCCACTTCCCCCGGCCCAGCGCTGAACTTACACTCGAGGTATTCTGTCTTCGTTCTGCTTAGCTTGAAACCCCTAAACTCAAGAGTCTGTCTCCAAATGTCCAATCTCTCGTTAACACCAGCTCGTGACTCATCAATCAGAACTATGTCATCGGCGAATAGCATGCACCATGGCACCTCCCCTTGAATATGGTTTGATATCGCATCCATCACCAGGGCGAATAATAACGGACTGAGCGCAGAGCCTTGGTGTAATCCCATTTCAACCGGAAAAGGCTCAGAGTCCCCTCCTACTGTCCTAACCCGAGTCTTAGCCCCATCATACATGTCCTTAATTGCCATAACATAAGGAACCGGCATACCTTTTGCCTCCAAGCATCTCCAGAGAACTTCTCTAGGAACCTTGTCATAAGCTTTCTCTAGGTCAATAAACACCATGTGCAAATCCTTCTTTCTCTCTCTATACAGTTTCACCAACCTCCTAACAAGGTGTATAGCTTCTGTGGTGGAACGACCCGGCATGAACCCGAACTGGTCATTGGATACAGACACTGTCATCCTCACTCTTGCTTCAATCACCCTCTCCCAAATAAAAGGTGTTATGTATATATATAAAAAAAAAAATTTAAAAAAGGCATGGAAATGAAGATAGTATAGCAGACCTTTTCAAAGATGATGGGCAGAGTTGGTGGATTCCAGAGTGTTTGCCCCGGCTAAGGCGGCAAAGAAGTGAGAGCATGTTATATTATTATGAAGTAGATAAATGATAAATTTTAAATTTAAAAACAGCGAATGCCAAATCTTCTGATCAAATAATTGGTATGTTTGCTCAGTACATTTGGGTGTCTTAACTTTTTTTTTTCTTTTTTGCATTTTATTCTCAAATGTCTACTTTTTTACTCCCAAATTTTGGGTTTGCTTGACTAAAAGTCTGCAATGTTTTATTACAAACTTGCTTTAGCTCAATCAAAGGATAAATTGCACAAATAATCATATAACCGTAACTTTTTTTCACTGAAGAATACTATTCTTTTTTTCTTACACAAAACCAAAACCAAAGCTCTTAGTGAATGTGCCAAAATTCATGATTTGCTTAGAAATTTGACTAACATTGCTAAGGAGCAAAGTAAATACTCTAATTCATTTGATTATAAATACCCTGATTCTTTCTCATTATTTAACAATATTGTTGTGGGAGATGAAATAAAAACAAGAAAAATATGAAAGTACCTCACAATCTTTTTCACATAACAGTGTCAAAAAATCATTGAAGAAGGACACACATGCTATGATAAGTTGATACCAACTTTTTCAGAAAATATTCCAGCTCCACTTACAATGGTATATTCGTAAATATGAGGATTTTATAGTAGTTTGATTCAAATCCAACGGTAAGGACAACCAGTATGAGTCCAATTCACTCTTGACTTGATTCCAACTATACTTGGTTTGTCTTTTGGTAAGGAAGTAGACATAGAAGAGAAACTTGCTCAAACGAATACTTAGATTTCTCCATTACATTTCCTCATTTAACAATTACCGTATTGGTTATCGGGATTACGAAAGTTATAAATTTTGGAAATATTCATTTGAAAAATAATTTGTTGTGCTGAGCATGATTAGCATAAATTAAGTTTTGATGATTAATAAATATGTTGAGAGAACGAGGTTTTCATTAATGTCATTTGCTATACTACTAATTGGTGTGAAGACAAAATATGCAGATGATGAAAGAACTAGGTCGGTAGCAAGATGAAGCAGAGCGCTAAAGACGTTGATCAAATTTAGCTAGAAGCTGAGTGCAAGTTGGATTCCGGAAGAAAGTTAATTCGTGCACAACAAGAAATTATTTTAGCCGGAGGAATTCGAGCTCAAAAGTTTCAACAATTGTGGGAAACTTGCAAAGAAGGGAAAGGTTGAGAAGTTGGAAACAAATAAGGAAACCATATCGAATAAGGAGAGGTTACCTTAACCAAAATATTCTAGGTTTTGGAGCATTAATAAGAGAATGATTTCGGTCAACCTCATACCTATGTAAAGATGAACTGATTTAGATTCACAATGTAAACTCTCAAAAGAATAGAGACACAGAAAAAAGGTCGAGATAGAATGCAAAATGAAGAAGAAGAGAAGAGAGAATCGGATAATCTTGAGAGAAGATATAGTGTGTATTATCTTCATACTTACTTACAAATATGCTGATTATCAGCATATATAAGCGAGCAATTACCCCTGTATAAAAACCTTCCTCTAACTATCTAACTGTCATAGGGTAGGTAAAATAACTAACTTCATAATTTTTGTTATAAGTTCTTTTATGTACAGTTCAGTCCTTAACTTCCATATAGTTCAGCTTCAGTCTTCAACACTTCCCCTCATGCTAGGCTTTAGTGAAGATGTTCAGAATACCTAGCTTGGATGTAAGGTATTCATGATGCACCATGTTTAATTCCTTAGTTAGAATGTCTGCAGGTTGTTCTCTTGTAGAAAGATATTGAATAAGGCCTTGGACTATTTTTTCTCTTATAAAGTGGCTATCTATTTCTATATGTTTTGTCCTTTTATGATAAACTAGATTGGCTACAATCTGTATTGCAGATTTGCTGTCATTGTAAATCACAACTGGTAGCTTACCTGAGCTTTTAACTCTTCCATGAGTCCTAGTATCCAAACTAGTTCTGCAACAGTTGATGTCATACTTCTATATTCTGCTTCAGCAGAACTTCTGGATATAGTAGTTTTCTTCTTCGACTTCCATGAGATTAGAGAGTCACCTAATTTAATAAGATATCATGTCACTGATTTCTTTGAATGAGCACAAGCTGGCAATCTGCATCACAATATGCAGTTATTTCTTCTGATTTACTACTTGACAATAAGATACCTACTCCTAGTTTCTTCTTTATATATTTGACAATCCTTAGAGCAGCCTCCATGTGTGATTTCTTTGGTTGGTGTAAGTACCTGACTTAGTATTTGAACATTGTATTAAATGTCAGGTTAGGATATAGTTAAATATAGTAGTTTTCCAATCAATCTCTGGTAGGCATTTTAATCAGTAGGAGGATCAATAGCTGTGTTAGTTCCTGTTCTTGCTAGATGATCATCATATTCTTTGATGGTCAATTTGATATTGATGTCCATGGGTGAAGATGCTAGTTTAGCAACACTTAATCCTAACTCAGAAATAAGCTCCAAGGTGTACTTTTTTTGATGCATTAGTATACCTTGAGTTGTTCTTGCAAACTCAATACCTAAAAAGATCTCCAATTCACCTAGATCCTTCATTTTGAAGGCTTGTGCAAGTCTGTCCTTTGTATCTTGAATCAAAGTTGGAGTATTTCCAGTGATGAGAATATCATCAACATACATTAATACTAGAACTACACCTTGTTGAGTATATTTCAAGTAGAGACTGTGATTATACTGGCTTTGTTTGAATTCCATTTTCAGCAGTGCTTCAGACAATTTTGCATTCCAATGTCTAAGAGCCTGCTTTAATCTATACAGAAATTTAATGAGTCTACATACTGATTTATTCTTCCCCTGAGTCCTAAATCCCTGTGGTAATCCACATATATCTTACCATTAAGATCCCCTTGATGAAATGTATTATATACATCAATTTGGTGAATGAACCATATCTTTTGTGCAGCAAGAGTTAAGATTCTTTTGATTGTCTTCATCTTTACATGGTAGTGAAGTAATCTCCCATATATGATTTTTCTATAAAGCTTCAATCTCATCTTTCACAGCATACACCCATCTTTTAGTTCTATAATAGTTGAAATTTTGGCAATGTAAGCTTGATGATGTGAATTTAGTTTGTCATAGGTTATGTAGTTAGATATGGCATATGGAATGTCTTTGTGAATGTTAAGTGA